GGCACCACCAGCAGGGGCAGCACCACCCCGAGCGCCACCTTGAGGAGCGCCACCACCCCGCTGTCTCTTACCCACTACACTCGGCTCGAAATCACCACCATCCTCAAAGACAACTGCTCTAGCACGTGAGGGAGAAGGAGCTGCGGCCTGGCCAGCAAGTTGACCACCGGCGGCACCACCCTGAGGTTGAGCAGGGGGAGGAGCTTGGCCGTTACGCTGAGGGTCACGACGGCCGGGGATGTAGCGGCGAGCGCCGGCCCGGATGGTGGGCGGGGGAGTAGAGATGATGCCGGGAGCGTCGGGGTTGCGGGCCGCGAGGGAGGTGGCTTCGCCGGGGGCGGAGCCGGTAGGGGCCGCGTAGGCGGAGAGGGCCGAAGTGAGGAAGAGGAGAGAGGAGAACTTCATGTTGACGACCGCCGTAGGTGTTGTTGGTTGTTTGTTGTGTGGGTCGGTTGTTGAAGTGGAAGTGGATTGGGTAAGGTAAGTTTAGGACGTTGGCACAAAGACTCAAGTCGTGAAGTTTCCGAAGTTGAAGCTGGCTGTTGATACTGGCCGGCAGTTACAAGTGTTGAAGGTAAAGCCCCAAGCGGTAAAATGATTAAAGGTAGTAAGTGGAGAAGTCGAAGACCGGCAGCTGATGATGAAAAAGAAGAAAAGAAAGTCAAGAGTACCAGACTCGACGGTGTTGATGCTCGTTCAAGGGAACGAAGAAGACAAGGAGATGTGTCCTTGTTGTTGTGCTGCTGATGCTGCTACTACAGATCACAAGAAACGCCTATCTCAACGGGAGATGAGAGCAGAGTTATATACACATCATATTCGTAATCGTCTTCGGTCTCCGTTTGGCATTCGGTATCCAGACCTTAAGGTCAACAAAACCGGTGTCTGACATTCGTGGGTCATTAGGGGTCGAGAGGGAGGCACGAAAGGGAGGCACGAAAGGGAGGCACGAAAGGGACGATCGGTTTTCTGGAAGGGCAAACTCTCTTGGTCTGCCAATCGCCAACAGTCAAAGTCTCCACGCTTCTATCGGTTGGGGTCTCGAAGCAGAATGTTGTGGTTGAGTTGTGAAACCATTTCAGAAATGTTCGGTTATGGAGTTTTCCGATGGATAACTTCCGGGATCAGCCTTGTCTGTCCGAGCCCTTGCAGGGCTGTGTCCTGGAGGTGGTGCGGACTGGTGCCGGATCGACATTATACGCTATATTGGGATACACTTACTAGTGGTTGCTAGCGGTCGTTAAAGGCGGATCACAAGGCTGTCCCTTACCCAAGGGTCTCGACTGCGAAAGGGCAGGGATGGGCGGGGTGGGACTAGGATGCATTCGAAGTTCTGGCGAGTGTTTGAATCAAGAATGTGGAGAAGATTGGATTCGCGTGCAAAGATATGTGTGGTGTTTGGTGAGGACAAAGAGACAGTGGAGCGAAAGACAGGACGATGAACAAGGAAACAAGTGCTTATCTGTGTCAGGAGTTGCGAGAAGTTGAGACGGGTGGCGAGTTGAGTGTTCGGTTGGGGAGGTTCCGAAGGGGAAGAGCTCTGACCGTCTGAGCGTGATGGAGATTTGTATCTCCCAAGATTGAAGACTTTGGAACAAAATATGTCACGGATTGAGCATCATGTTCGTGCCAACCCAATGATCGTGAAGTTATGCATTTCACGTCTTCCACAAATTTGTCTTCCAATTTCCAGGATTTTGTGTCAAACAAGGTGTTATGAACTGCGGATGTCGATTTTTGCGATTTGAGTGTCGACTTCAACCAATTCCATTGCAAAAGCCGTGAAAATGCAAGACGTCGAAATAAAGCCGCTGCCAAGCCGCCGTCGCTGCAACCAAAAGGGGGTTTATTTACTAACCTCCCTATTAGGTACTTTTTGGAACCTTGCGGTGCATCGCGAATCAACTCCTAAAATGCCCTCGCATTGGCACTCGTATTTGGCAAGGGTGCCCGGTCTGTGATTCAGGGCCCACGCCGCTTGTCAGCCGTGCGTTTTCTCAATGCTGGCTGTTGGCATTGGTGATCGGCTCAACAGCTTGTCTTGAACAAAGTTAGCGCTATGAAGGTATTGACATTTATGCCGTCTGGTTTGTTTACTTGGCGATGCTAAAGCCCACAGTTTGTGAAGGTAAACAAACTAAATCGGCAACGGAATGCGCCGAAGACTTTCGGTCTATAGTTTATACTAGGAACAGGACTGGGAGAATGCGGGACCAGAAACTGCCAAACTAACCAAGAGATCTTGAACAAGACGTCAAATTCTCCAGGTATTTCAGCTGTTTGAGACTTCTGAAGAGCTGGTGGGACGAGCTGAGGGTGAGGCAGATAATTCTACTGGCAAAACAGGTTCCACAGGAGTTTGAGAGTCTAAGGAGAAGGGCAAGGGTAAATGACACGAGACCTACCCGGATTTGACCAGTTGGGATTGGAGGAGATAGACATGGTCTCATCTCCTAACCGTTTGAGCCAGACCCCAATCACCAAAGCTCCCAAACTGAACATCAAACTCCATTTTATTCGGTATCATCGTCTTACACGTACTGTACGCTCATTCATTACTTTTCCGTTTTTTCTTTGTGCACTCGTCTACTTGTCCTCCTCGCCAAGCAAAACAGCCGGGCTACCCTGCACAAACTCCAAATCCACCTTGTGACCCAGCAGCTCGCGAATGTTGGAGATGCCGTACTTGATCATGGTGGGGCGCTCGAGAGAGAGACCCCAGCCGAAGACGCGCATGTCCTTGCTGTTTGGGTGTTAGTATTCGTTCACAGTGGTAAGGGGTTCGATGGTGGAAAAGGGGGGAGGAGGGGAGAGTAAACATACGGAAGACCCATGGACTCCAACATTTCGGCGCGGAACATGCCGCTGTTTCCGATCTCGACGAGCTTGCCGAGGCCCTTGTCTGTTTTGTTTGTTAGCTCATGTCTCCCGGCATCAGGGATGTTGCCCACTCACGGTAAGCGAAAATCTCCATCGAAGGCTCGGTATAAGGGTTGTAAGCGGGTTTGAACTGCAAATCATGCAGACCCATCTTGCCGAAGAAGATCTCCATGAACTCCATCAGACCACCGAGGGTCAAACCGTAATCGGCAATGACACCTTCGACCTGGTGGAACTCGGCCAAATGTGTAGCGTCGACGGTCTCGTTACGGAAGACACGATCGATGGAGAAGTAGCGGGCGGGGGTAGGACGGCCATCGGGACCCTTGGTGGCGGCCAGCTTGTGCAGCATGTTTGCGCTGATGGCGGTGGTGTGTGTGCGCAGGACGAGACGGAGCGACTCGTCGCCGGACCAGGGGTAGCGGTAGCCGATGGAGCCGTACTTGCCGTCCTGGTGCACGGCCTTGACGTTATCCCAGTAGGCCTGGTAGTCTTTCGTGTCGTCGGAGGATTCGCCGCGGGGGAAGTCGGCGGCCTTGGGGTCGGAGATGTAGAAGGTGTCTTGGAGATCGCGGGCGGGGTGCTGCTGGGGAACGAAGAGGGCGTCGAAATTCCAGAAGCCGGACTCGACGAACTTGTCCGTGGGCATCTCCTCAAAGCCCATTTCGAAGAAGATGTTGCGCAGCTCCTGGCGCACCTTGTTGAGCGGGTGCAGGGCGCCGCCGTTCTGGGTGGCGCCGAGGGCCTTGAAGTTGTAAGGCTTGAAGGTGGCCGTCTTCCAGGCGCCCGAGGCAATCATGTCGGCGGTCAGGTCGGTGGCCTCCTCGGGGATCTTGAGGGCGAACTTGGGGCCCTTGTGAATCTTGAAGGAGAAGATGTTTTGTGTGCGGATGAGCTTGCGCTTCTTGAGGTCGGCGAGGATCTTGGCGTCGGGGTGCGTCTTGGTCTGCTGGACGATCTTGATCTGCTCCTGGGTGGTGTCGGTGATGTTGTCGGCGACGGCGGTGAACTTGCCGTCCTTGGTCTTGCTAATCCACTTCTCCTTGAAGGCCTTGCCCTGGCCGATCTTGACCACGTTCTTGTCGCCGATGGCCTCCTCCAGCTCCTTGACGGACAGGCCCTCGACGGCCTTGCGCAGCGCCTCGAAGACGCGCGCCTCGTGGGAGCCATTGGCGGCGATCTGTTCGGCTTCGGGTTCGAGGAGGGCTTCCTGACGCTCAATGGTGTCGTATTTTACCATCTCGCGCGACGCCAGCCTGTCGAGGGCGGCCTTGAGGTCGACAAAGGTGGCGCTGGGGAAGGCATCGCTGGAGAGGAGGGGCTGCGACGACTTGTCGAGGGCAGCGAGGATGTCGGTCGCGAGGTCGTCCGAGGACGCGGTGGTGGTTGTTGGGGGCGCCATTATGTATGTGTGGTTGTTTTGGGTACGGACGGACTCGTATCGGAGCGGCAAGCGGATCTTCCAAGAAGCGGTTCAGTGGTCAAATCCCGGGGAGCGGCGCCGTACTGGAGTCTCCGTCTCGCAGAGGCATGGTGGGGCTTTGACTCACAATTTCCCAATTTCCAGACGCGGCCCGGCCCCGCGAATCGGACATGTGGACCCCTCCATTTGTGAGTGTGCTCTTGGCCAATGACAGATTGCGGAAAATCTTGGAGGCCGCAGAGTCATCCATACAGAACCCTAACCCGTGTCTGCGGTCTTGACCCCGCGCCAGCTCCGTGTGATGTTGACAATGCCATGTCATTGCTTCCAGGTGTCTCCCGTCTCCTCGCAGCTTCATCATTGCATCTCACCGCCAGTAACATCATCCTGAATGATTGATTGTCGCGATAGTTCAACGATGTTTCATTGACTGTCGCGGAGTTTCCCCACGATGGCTCTTTTTCTTTCACCTTCTTCATCCCCAACACGCATCTCGCAGTGCTCTCCTGATCCCCTCCCGTTCGACCTACCCAGTACTTGCCCGGGAGTTCTTGGGCTCGCACCAGCGACCGGGACATTGGTGTTGTGCCACCCAAGCCGCCCAACTGTCGCGCATCTTTTGCATCCATCGTCGCGCATTCCTCAATCAGAACGTACGGCAAAGGTTTCCAGTCGGGATTTGATCTTGGAGTTCCCCTTGATGCATGTGTCGTCCATCACAGGCACCTGGTGCGCAATGTGGTCTTCGTGACTTGACCATGCAATGTCGCTGGTTCTCATTTTTAGGCGCCCGATCCGAGTCGTTTTTCCAACAAACGGCAGCTTTGGCTGCCCGGCTAGCTCAATCGGTAGAGCGTGAGACTCTTAATCTCAAGGTTGTGGGTTCGACCCCCACGTCGGGCACGTCGGGCTCAATTCCCGGCGTTCAAATACGCCTTTCTTTTTTCGTCTTTTTGCCTTCTGTTCCAGTTTCAGATTGATCCCTTTCCTCATTGATCCTTTTTTTTATCTGGCGTTTCCAACCACTGCGGCTCCAAAGGATTGTTTCCCATGTTAGAACTCACTTAAGAGCTTCACTCTTGGTCCAAGCGTTAAGACATGCTATTCCCACTAACACTAACATCTACGCCTGGGGCTTCTGCTTTTCCTCACAATCCAGGTCAAGATGATGATATCTTCATCATTGAACCTCCGCCCTCCTCAAAGAACCACTACATGCTATGGATCTTTGATCTTGGTTAGCGGGTGCAAAGAAGCATGATCTCCATTCACTGTAACCTTGCATCCCGTTGATAGTGCATTAACATGGCCAACCAGACATTCGATATCGGCCGGATTTAGACCTACCGCCGCCCTGTCATACACAACACCTCGGGGATCCCCAAAAAGTCCGATATGTGAAACGGCGGAAGATGGAGATAGTGAAATATGGCCAAGAAATCCGAACATCAAGTGCATGTGCAGACAGCGCAGTTGTGCTGAAGCAAAGAACTGGTGCTTCCATGGATCGTGCTATAAAGATCACATGCTGCAACCAACATCCAAGGACGCAGAACCCCGGGAATTCTCGATCAACTCAAAAGGCCAAGGACCGTTTCGGCTTAGCGACTCGTCTGTTCACGACATCATCCGCATAATCAGGGATCGTGAAGACAACAACCGAGAACTTGACGATCACCGAGTTATCGACACCAACAGCTTCGGACATCGAATCTCAATTGAACTTCCCAAAACCCTTCAATCACAATGACTTCCGGAACCTCCATGTCGGCCCTCGCCGCCAACAACTTGTTCAATGTCAACGGCATAGTAGCAGTCATCACCGGTGGCGGATCAGGTGAGTCTCTCAACACCCTCACTCTTTCGTCCATAGGCTAACAACCTCGACCTCAGGCATCGGCCTTATGATGGCCCGCGCCCTCGCCGCCAACGGTGCGAAGCGCGTTTACATCCTCGGCCGCCGCGCTGGCGTCCTTTCCACCGCCGTCGCAGCCAACCCCGAGCGGGGCATCATCGTCGCCATCGTCTGCGACGTAACCGACAAGGAGTCTCTCCAAAAGTGCGTAGACAAGATCACCCACGACGTCGGGTACATCAACCTCTTCGTCGCCAACTCTGGCGTCCTCGGCCCTTCCAACAAGTGGGACACCAGCCTGCCCCTTTCCGAGGTCCGCAAGAACTTGTTCACCAACTTCCAGATGGAGGAGATGACCAGCGCTCTCAACACCAACGTTACGGGAGCCTTCTTCTCCATCGTTGCCTTTTTGGAGCTGCTGGAGGCGGGAAACAAGAATGCTGTTGAGAAGGGTGGATTCGGCAAGCCGGTCACGCCGGGGAGTGATGTCCCGTCTGTCCAGAGCCAGATTATTGTCACGGCTAGTATTGCCGGGTTCAGCAGGAAGACGGTGTCGACGCCGGCATATGGAAGTAGCAAGGCTGCTATGATCTACCTCACTAAGCAGGCAAGTTCGGCCTTGGCGCCGTATGGGATTCGGGCGAATGCCTTGGCTCCGGGGTGTAAGTTTGTCTTCTTTCCAACTGTGCGAGTGGACTGATGCTGACATGCTGTAGTGTTCCCCTCCGAGCTCGCCGCCGGTCTGATCGGAAACCGTGATCCCGGTACCGAGTCCTTCGAAAGTCCGCACTTCATTCCTGCCCAGAAGTTTGGTGGCGAGGAGGAGATGGCTGGCACTATCCTGTATCTTGCAAGCCGGGCTGGCAGCTTCTGCAATGGTCTGATCCTGGTTAACGATGGTGGGCGTCTATCGGTAATGCCGTCCTCGTACTAAGTAATGATTGTTGTCCGCCACATCATTCCAGGACCGAGGGGATAGGGAGGATACGGATTGGCTTGCACACAGGGGGTGATGGACACAAGGTACAATGTCTTGCTGGGCAGGCCCGGATAAAGGGTAATTAGGGGTATCTGGTCATTAACTCATCGTCTCCAATTCTAACTCTGGAGCAAACGCTCGCTCTTCCGGTGCAATCTTGCCTTATCGATGTCCATGTCCTAATCCTCAGCTCATGCAATATTCTCCAAGGTCATGCCCGACACTCCCCCGCGGCCTTCAACGCCCTCCCCACCCGTTCCCCCAACCACTCCCTCTCCTCCAACCCAACACTAATCCTCACCAGATCTTCCACCACCCAAACTCCGCCGCCCATTCCAGTTCCCGATAATGCGCCAACAGGGTATACGCACAGCAAAGCGTAAAGTTCGTTCCCAAACTCGGTCCCTTGGCCACATCCAGCGCATCATAGAACGCTCTCGCCTTGGCTGGCGTCATGAATTTGATGGAGACCAGGAATCCGTAGCCTCCTTCTTCTGCTTGGCCTAGGCTGTGGTCGGTAGAGGTAGAGGTAGGTTTTACCCGGAACTGTTCATAAATGGCTTCCGTTGATGAGCCCCTGGGGTAGTAAACTTCTTGCACGCTTGTATGCGGTCGGAGGAGATGCTGGACTAGCCAGTTGGCGTTGGAACTAGCGTGACGGACGCGGTGGATAAAGTCGCGGCTGTTGTTGTTCATGGTGTCGATGTCGGAGGGGAACCAGCTTCTATCTGTCTCTTCTTTCCTTTCGTTCTGGACTTCTTCCTTGCTGACATCCCCTTCCAGCTTGGCTGCGTACCCCGAGTCTCTCTTGCCGTTCCTTCCAGTCATCCCTCCCCTGTCCCTGCCCCGACTGACCCAACCCCCCGTCCAGTTTCCCTTCCAACGATCCCTTCAACTCCTGATACCGTCCCGAAAAAGAATTGAGCACAGCACAACCGCCCATTACATCGCAACCTCCACTAACCATCTTCGTCAAACTGCTCACCACGGCATCGCATCTGCCCAGGACATTCACATTCGCCCCTGTTCCACCAACGGTGTCATCCACGACCAGCGCGAACCCATATCTTCGGCTCAGCTCCCAGAGCTTCTTTAGGTCGGGACTTTGAAGTAACGGATTGCCAGGGAACTCGGTTATTAGGAGGTCAATCTGCAGCTCGCCTGATTCCAGTAGCTCTGAAAGAGAAGACTGCGCGGGATTTGACCGGGTGGTTGGTGATGGTGAGAGAGGTGTCGAGAAGGGGAAGAGTTTGAAGTCAAAGCCGAGGAGAGTGGAGAGCAATTTGAGGGTGTCGACGTAGAGGAAGCCAAACAATGCCACGGATGGTTGTCTCCTCCCGTTCAATCTCGGCAAATCAAGGGATTTAATAGCTGAGCTAATAGCGGCGATGCAGGACATGCCTGTTGGATACAGCAGTACATCATCGTTCGCAACAGGGAGGGAAGGGGTCGAGTAGCAGTCAGCAAGGCGGGTGCGTATTGCGCCCAACGCCTGGGTGTTGCTGTCTTCGTCGAAAGGGGTTGGAGATGGGCGGTTGCCATAGTTGGTCTGTCTGTGTCCGTTTGGCGAGAGTTGGAGAAACGGAGAGCTCTCCATCCAGTAACTCGCCCTTCGACTCGAAATCCCGAACCCGGTATGTTGCCAGAAGGCTTTGGCAGTCGGGAACATTTCGACGGGGTAGGGGAGGAGGAAGATGTCTTCTTGGCCCAGGGCCATTTCCTTCTTCCGGGTGGGTAAGTTGTCATTTTCGCGTACGGCGGTAATGCTGCCATCCCAATGGGCGATGAGGATGTCGAAGTTCGCTTTTGGGGAATTTGGGAAGAGCTTCTGGCAGAATAAGCGTCGACACATAAGCGCGTGATGGCCAGTCGAGAGAATCAATGCATGTTTGCCCTTCAGGTCGACGTCGGTGTCGATGTCTTCGTGGCCGTGGGATTCGGACAGGGCCTGGGCGAAGTGTTCGAGAATACGCTCGGCTAGGCGTTCGACTACTCGCGGAATGAAGAAGCGCGGGTAGCCTGTGACCATGGTGTCCAGAACGCGACGGTCACGAGAGGCCCAGCCGAGGGTGTCTTCCCATGTTGGGAGGTGGACGCTTACTCCCTAGGGGCAGAGGTCAGTATGGCGTTTGGTTTGATGGGGCTCCGGCTCATGGGAGAAAGATGCCATTGACTTACATGGGGATTTCCAGGAGGGAGAGATTCCCCCAGCTTGAGAACCTCTGGATGTTGGATGATGCCGCTCACACTCATGATCAGTTGCTGGACCTGGACCAAATGCTTTTGATATACAAAGCTCGTGGGGCCAGAGTTGGGTTATATGTCCACCGCAAATGTCAACAACTGGCGGTGTCGCGCCAGCTAGCCACTTTAGCTGCCAACTTCCGAGCCCCAGAATTGAGGCGCCACAATCATTGACCGCTTGGGTCCGCTCGTAGTCCGGCAAAGTGGAGCACCGATCGCCGAAGCTGAAAGTCACGAACCCTGATTGCAAAAGAGCTACGAGTCGCGAGCGAGTGATGTGGCAGTGGAGACACTGATGTCATGTCTCATATTCTCTAAATAGAACTTGTGGTGAACTAGAACCAGAAGCGCCGCGTGGAAAGTGCGACAGAGACCCCAAAGGCCAACACACACAACACACGTGCTTCAAGTCGGACAGAAGACATGGTACATGGGCGGTTCACTCTGGCGCTGTGCATCATGGCCATCTCCCCGGATTGGATGGATCGGTTTGCTGATTGTTGTACAAGAGGTCCAGAATCTCGGACATGTACAGAGTACGGAGTATAGACGCATACTTTGGGGGTTGGGAGTGTGCGCATCAGACATCGTGAGTCGGAACGATGTTGTTCAGATTGTTCATCCTTGTCGATGGATCAATGCCAAGATTCCCATCCCAGACGCAGATCACGAAGAGGTGGTGTCGAGCATGCATACCCTTGATTCATGGTGTTGACGGCCAAATGTCAAAAACAACGTCAACTGACATCACGGTTGACAGTTTTCCGGCATATAATGATTTTTTGCAAGGGCTTTGTTTTACAACCAACATCCCATTCTTTCCGTAGCGTAGTGTCAACCACCAGTTATAATCTAAAAGCCCCTCAAGACCTTCAACCTATGAATTTACACGGCAACCATTACTATATTCCAAATTCCATCTCCAATTTGAAATGCGTCACACTGCATTGAGCTATAGACAGATCAGACCCCACGCTAAAATGCCTGACATCTTCTTTATGCTACCTTTGGAGGTGTAGGCAGAGGTCTACTCCATGATGTGGCCTCCGAACTGGAGGAAAAAGAAAAGGTAGGGAAGGGTTCCTCCTCCACGCCAATTGAGACTTCTCATGGGGCCTCTACAATCAGGAACCGAAGGTACGCATTTGGCTATGGTCAGAAGGTTGAGAATGAGAATAACAACCGCCGCAGTAGCATCGATGACAGCAGCAGCATCGGTAGCGGGAGTAAGGAGGGGAAGACGAAAAAGGAAGGGAAAGGGAAGACGGAAGGGAGGACGGAGGTGGAGGTTGAGAGTGTGGAGCAGCACAACGGTAGTCGTGGGAAGGAAAAGAGAAATAAGAGGCGGTGGTGGAAATTGTCAAGGTGACGTGGGCTGCAGGTGTTGATGGGTCATGGTGAGTGATTGCTAGCACTGCAATATGACTCGGAGGTGACGATGTAAAGGTAGGAAGGTAGAAAGGGAATTACGAGGTTTTGAGGGCTGGTGCTGTGAAGGTGTAAGATGTATGGAGAGTAGAAATCGCGAAAGTGTTGGCGGATAATAGTGGATGTTTGAGAGAGGTAGGTGTAGTGGTTTAGCAGAAGTTTACTCCAGAAGAAAGATCATGATGGGAAGCAATCGCACCCTTTGTAGGTCGTAGCATATTTGCGAAATTGAAATTGCAAATTTCGTTTTGGGATCATAGAAAGGTGTAACCTCTTCCTTCTTTAACGGGTTGCCCTTCCGCTAAAGTTCCATACTATCCCTTGCAAACACACATAGCACCTCAATCCCAGAACGACCCTCTGCCCATTAGGATGTGCATGTGAAGGCTAGCTTACATACATCGTCCTTTTCCCTCATAGGTCTCCAGTCTCCCATCCGCCGTGACATTCCTTGATAATCCCGCACCGATCACAAACAGCCCAGTCAACGCGTACTCCGAGGTCGTTCAATCTCGTCAAAAGTTCGCCTTTCTCAAACAACGCATTAGTTTCCACTCTCGTCTGGAACGGAATTAAAGACCTGAAATATGGACAGGATTACTTACTCGGAGGTACCTATGGAACGTCGGCATCCTAAGCCCATCATCTGCTGCTAGAGCCGGAGATTCCACCACCCTGCTTGCTAGCATCCTGGGATCCTCCCAAGTTTGATTTTCCGTGTTGCTTAGACGTCACAGGCGTCACAAGATTACCCTCTCCGTCTTTAGTGACTACGGCAGCACGATCGATCGAGTCAGTCCTTCCTACTGGTAGAGCAAGAAAGTTGTTGTACTTGGCGTTCTTGTCCTGAGCGGTTACAACATGTTGAGGAGGAGTGAATGGATGGGATGGGATGGGCTTTGTGCTAGTAGTTTGTAGGTAAGAAGCGAGAATGACTGGATGAGAATGAAAGCATGGCTAAGGTAGTGGAGGGTTGAAACGTGGAAGATGCTTTCGGTTGACCTACAGTTAGACTAAGATCAATCAAGCCAGGAGAACTGGGTGGTAGATATACCTAAATCTTGTGAGCGACAAACTCCTTTTCCATAATGTGGGTGTTGGAGCATTCTTGCCAAGTGCCAACAACCCAAAACCGGCCGCTGATTATCTGATACAGCTTGTTGGGCTGAGCACATTCGCGTCGTTGGTTATATGGATGAAAAGAATCAATTCGTTCATTAACCGGTCATTGTTCAAGCGGCATCTGGAACGAGGAAATGCTCTTGGACGTGCCAACAGACATCAAAGACGGCTTGAGACACGCCAAGTTGCCAACATGTTGGCTGTGAAAAGCACCCCTGCCGGTGTACTACCCGACAAACACCAACAACAACTGAAAGAACAATGAATTCTTTGCCGCATAGGTTTGTTAGTCGCCCAGCAATGACTCAGATAATCAACATTTCCCGACGTGACTCGTCAAGATCACTGCCTCCCAGCCGTCGCGCGAATCGAACAAGTCGACGATGTAGAAAAAGCAATAGGTGTTGTTGGTTCGCAAAAGTAAATTGTGGTTAAAACTAGAGAACCTGCGTCGTTCAGTTGGTGTTGGATGTTTGAAGTATTCGTGCATGCACCTACCTTGTTGTCTCTGTCGCCGAGATTACCCCTACCTATTCTCTGCTGCGCCTAAGATGGTTGCGCTGTAGGTAATGAATAGCTGTGTCCAGATATTGATTGACGCCAGACATCCCATGATGCACGAGATTTAGAGCGTGTCTAAGCGGTTTGCATGGAACTAGGTAGTAATGAGCGTTTGAAAGGAAGCAAGGTCCAGTTGGTGCTAATTTGAATGAATTAAAAGGCCTAGCAATGAATACTGTGTTGACCAGTGCGAATATTTTCATCATAGAAGTCTGCTAAGACGTAGGTTGTGATCTGCCTTGTTAATTCGCAAATGTCATGTATTAGCCCTTGCACCAGGAGGTGCATCCGTGGTGCAAGTGGGACCTAAGTTAATAAGCCATCTCTTTGTATACAACAAGTACCAAATTCCACAGGGCCTATGGTCAAGCGGTGTGTAGCGCAGGTAGGTATTGGACAGAGGCGCACAAAAACACACGGAGCCGCATGGGGCACGCAGTCGCAAGCGGGATGCTCCTAGGTGCGGAACCTACCGGGCGACCGGTAGGGTTTGCCATACAGGAACTTTATACGACAGGTGTCTGTAGTGCTTGCAAATATGCCCTGTAGTTCCCGATGAGATTGTATAGTGTCTGGTAACCAGTGGGTGAGCCTGTTGTGTTGCCTGCAGTTGTTGCATTCTGGCGTCTTCCGGTTACGTAAATAAGGCTCTTCTACTCCTTTCCAGGTGCTCATATGACTCATGTGTTTGATTCCTGGCCCTTTCATTTTTTTTTTGCAATTATTTTTGCAAGGAACCTCTGTTGTCGTCTTGCACTCTCTGCAATTAATTTCTGATCACTCAAAGGAAAGATGAACATGAGAACAAGAAAGATGTTACGATCCAATCGTTGAGCCTCATGTAAGCTAGATAGATTGACCAATCAGATAGGACCCGGGGTTGAAGACCAGTATATAAGAAGGCCTCCCGGCCTTCGTTATACCGGGTTCTTCAGCAAGCAATAGCTATCACAACCTACCAGTACCTTTTGGCTACTACTCCGTTACTCTATTGTTCTATCCCAGTGATAATACTCCTGTGCTTGTAACGGTTCGTCACAAAAGAAATGATACCGCACACGCCGCGTGAAAAATGGATTGTATCAGTCGTCGGTATTTACCTTTGTTGCTGTTCCATTAAGGCATTTAGATCAGATACTATGAAAGAGGGACAACCAAGTGTCTGGGCCTCTATGTTTATACGCGTTTCTATAAGGGTAGCTGAGAACATTCTCTAGTCGGCACAGTCCATATGCGCATGCCCAAGGCATCGCCCGTCCAGACACCAGATAGTATATGAACACCTGTCTTCGACACTACAGTAGCCGGCGCGACGCCATCTTGAAGCTCTTTGTGACCTGTGGCAAGTCGTAAGGGATACGCGAAGTAAGAAAGAAGAAGTCTAGGTCTTTGATACATATATCATTGTATGCACACACCGCTATATACACCATCTTTTAACTAGACCTAGATATCTACATCCGACATCTCTTCATCCTCAACCTCAAACCCAACCATCCACACCACGTTACCATGCTCAGGCTTCTATGCCTTGGTCGTCAACTTGACCCCAAACTTCCAACCCCTCAAGACGATAAACAAAACACCAGAGACCAAAAGCATTATGCCACCAAACGTCCACATGCCCGTCCAGTTATGTCCGCCATGACCAGTCTGTTGCAGAATCGCACCGCCGCCGGGACCGCCAATGAGCGTTGCAAGACCGAGGAACGCATACCCCATGCCGATCCTGCTGCCGAGGCGAGACTTGTCCTTCGTGAGAACGATGTAGCAGACGGTCGGAAGGGCGATGAAGACGCCGGAGAAGAAGCCAAAGAGGATGGCGACGACAACGATAGCCTACACACAGAAAGACAGTTAGCAAGGACTCTTCAACCGTGTTCAAGAGACAGAAGAGACTTACCCCAAGACCCTTAACCCCCATCATAGCCAACGTCAACGCTCCACACACCAACGCTCCCGGAATCAAAATATTGAAGGGCCCGGCCTTATCCGACAACCAATTCGGTAGCGTGCGTCCAAACATGCTCGCCGCGTTGAGAATGGGAACGATATAAAACGCCATAGCCGGATTCGTCGCGCCAGTATCCAGCCCGAAGAAGCTGAGGTAGAAAAGCATCGTATACAACCCAATAAAGCCCACAAAGCAGCCCAGGGTGAACAACATGTACGGTCCATCCGTGAAAGCAGTGACATCCACAAACGCCCTGACTTTGCCGGGTTTAACTCTCTGCTTGAGGAAAACCACGGGCACAGCTAGTGTTCCCAAAGCAATGAACCCGATTACGCGGACTGACCAGCCGTACCCGATCCGGTCGATAAGGCGGTAGAAGACAATTGGGTACACCACACCGCCGAAAGAGCTACCAGCTGCAGCCAAGCCGGTAGCAAGTCCGATCTTGGTACTGAAATACGACTGCAACACCGCAACACCGGGAGTAAACATCATGCCCGCCCCCAATCCCACGACGAACCCTTGCGCCAGCAACGCCTGGTAGTACTCCTTCGTCAAGCTAAGCATCATGTGACCAAAGACAACTCCAAACGCTCCCACAACAATGAGATGTTTCAGGTAGCCCCTATCGTACAGTGGTCCGGAGATAAGTCCACCAAGCAAGACCATAAAGGACTGAATGCTGCCTATCCAGCTGATGTTTGACGAAGAAACGGAGCCAGGCGGCTGAAAGATGGAGGAAGGAGACTCATAGTAAGTCTGGAAAATACCGAAGGTGTTGAGCAGACCCCAGGTATTGAAGAAGATGAAGAAGGCGGAGGCGACTTGGAGCCAGGCGGCGAGGCCGCCGTTGGGTGGCGGCGGGCTGGCGTTCCATGCGCCGCCGGGGGCACCAGCCGGAGGACCGCCTGTGGGTGGACCGGTTGGTTGCTTCTCAGCATGGGGCGCGGCGTTGGTGATGGTGGTGGTAGGAGGAGCTGCTAACGGAGAAGACTTCTCGGAGGAGGCGCGCGAGGGCGAAGGGATGCCAGTTGCGGTGGACTGGTCGGAGATGTTTCCTTCGTTATCGGTTGCGTAAGTCGGGGCGCCGGCGTCGGTGCCGGTTGGGGAAAGGGTTTTTGATGTCATTTTGGTGGTCGCAGTTGCAAACATGGGAGGAAGGGATCACGCGACAGGATGCGCTCAGCTGCGTGTTGCCGTTGTTTGCTTCCCGGTGTTGCGGTTGCTCGGCCTGGATGGTGACACTTGACGGCGCGGTTTTCTTTGCGCGTCCACAAGGGGTGAACTACTCGTCAAGAGATTTGTGACAGATGAGAGATGGGAACGAAGGACAAAAGTTGAGACGGAGGCTCACAGGATGATATGTACCTAAAGAACCAAAGCCAGAGCCGGCTCGGAGCCCGCACTCGGAGATAGCGACCGCTGCAATTTGATTTCCAGGCGGGCGGGCAGGCGGCAGGCAGCGCGCCGCAGAGGCCCCGTTCTTTTTCCCAACCGCCAACCTGCCATGCACTCGCATCTACGACAGGGTAAGGTGTCACAACCGAATTTTGGGTCTGTTTGCTGCACAAATGTTTGGTCGGTTTGGGGTTCTGGGACTAGGACCCTTGCGTGATACTGGACTCGGCATTAGAACGGGTATACGAGCGTCTGACACAGTCTGTCAACTGACAGCAGCCACTGCGAAAACTGAATGTCAAAGGGCGTAAGGTTGTGTTATCCGATAGCTCCATGCACTGTGCTGGTAACATTTGTTCAGGCGATTGCGAGCGATGGTGCAGACGGTCGCTTGGATTGAGTGTCCAATATGTTTGGATGGCGGCGATCCATGGTCCCCAATGCGGTAGCGAGTTGTTTCCTACCACAAGAGGTGCAAATTGGGGGCGGCCGCTTATAGTTCGGCGATGGAGTCGTCATCCCCGTACTCCCAAAACTGTTCCTTTCTGAATGTTCCCGTTTTGAGGGGTTGGCGCTTGGGAGGCAGTGGTTGACTGACTGTGAGAAATTGGGTGATCACAACTGCGAAACAATTTATTTATCTGTTCGCGTGTAGGTAGTTTCTCCAAAGTTTGAAGGAGAAATGTCTTGGCTTGGAGAATTGCTTGCGCCTACAGTCGCACTTGCAGTGTCTCTCTTTCCGCATGGAAATGTTTCGAAAGGGATGCCGCGAACAGTTGCCGGTGGCACGGATTTGGAACACAGCATGGAAAGTTTGAGACACCGTTATTTGTCCCATGTTTCCCCTCGTGATACACCGCAAACAGAAACACAGCCACAAGCTCAGTTGCACTCATTACTCTCTGTCAATCTTTCTTGGACAATTGCAGTCCATTTCCGACGTCAAAATCCACTTTGCTCCGAGTCCACTAGCGAAGGCATTAACGTGCCATCCCCGATCATCTGCCCCACGCACTAACACGTTCTCCGACTCCAAACAGTCATGCACCAAGCGCCGGCGTCATCGCTGACCACCACCCCATCCAAATCGCCGAGCCCCACTCTGCGTTTAGCTAACATACCATCAAAAGCTCCTCAGACCCTTCAAACAGTCGCCATGGATGGTGTACCCACATCATCAAAATGACCGGCCTCGGTGGTGATCGGAGTTACGATTCCTTTAGCGATTCCTACCCAACCCAGCAAGGACTCGTCCAACGTTCAAACAAGCTATAGCCTAAAACGCTTGGCTTCTTGCCGGTTCCCGTTGGTGTTGCGGCGGTGCCGCTGTTCCCTTGGTGTCCTTCCGCTTGCCGAGTGCATTTCTGAGCCTCTACCATATGCCACGCCAATCTGGCAGCCGGGGTACGCAGCCCGCTGGCTGCCGATGACTCCAAGCTCCGAAATGACGGAGAGATAGCGAGTCGGTGGGCCACTCGGCGATGTGCGCGGTGACCGGTGTCGCCAATTCACCACGGAGACGGGCGGGAGGTACGCAGGGAATAACCCGTCGTTGCTGCCCCTGTCGGGGTTTCCCCACGATGTCAATGTTTGGGCGGTGGAGCGCTAAAACACTTGGGGTTCAGTGGTTCTGCAGGGCTTACGGCGCTGTGGATGGTGATTAATGCCCGCTGCGGCGCTGCGGCGCTATCGGCTCTTGCCAAGTCCAGTGGAGAGGGCAGACGCGGGCGACTTCACGACAACGTCGCGCCTTCCAAGACGAGGACACTCCGACATTTCGCTGTCATTTTGCACATTCAAGCATTGCGGAAAAAAAAGACGAATTTGGCTTTCATTGCATTCAATCTCTTCATATTACCATTTCCCTTCACCGATCATTTCTTGCTTGCTATTCTATGCACGGCATGACCATCACTTCTCAGACTCTATCTACCCTAACCCTCGACCTTCCCATTCATTTCACATCTCCATTTTTCATCAGGACATTCATCGGACACTCCGACTCCATGCATGGCCGGAGCTTCTATGTTCATTCATATCCATCAGCCGCCATTCTACCTTTCTGAAAGACGTCAATGAACTCTGTTGGGCGGCACAGTACCTCACCTACTTCCTCTTAACTCCCGAGCTAGTCGAGCTCGGAACGACCACCGTCTCGGCGGTCGTGTACGACGTGCTTGAGCCGCTACCGCTTTTACTGCTGCTAGTGGCGGTGGTATTAGTGGTGGTTGTGGTGCTAGTTGTTGACGGAGTTGTCTTGTACGAGGTCGTCGTGGAAGAGGAGCTGGGAGGGGAAAGGTAAGAGCTGCTGCTCTTGTTCGAGTCGGAGGACGACATGTTGATGGTTTTGATGGCTTAACTTGTTATCGATGATACTGGAATTTCGGAAGACTGGAGTGGAGGGAAAAGTGGATAATGACAAGGGGTGTTCACGATTTCTTGTATTAGTTCCCGGTTGTTTGGATATTGAGTGATTACCCAACCATAGAAGATGTGGAACGATGCGCCATTGCCATCTCATTATCCGATATGAGTTTGCAGGGTAGTCAAGTGAGTGAGGCATGGAGCATGAAGCATTAGGTGTTGAAAGCATCAGATGGGAGCTTTATTCCTCTACGAATTCTTCATTTCATTATACATCCATTCTTTCATTCCATCAAGAGATCAGTGGCTCCAAGGCTCCATCTGATATGCTTTTCTTCATAGCCATGTGTCACATGGAAACGGGTCTACAGGATATTACACTTCTTCCCTGAGCTTGAACTTGACGCAGCCTGCGTTCCAGAGACACTGTCGGAGCCGGAATTCCATGTCTTGCCCTTGGACATGTACAAATGGTTGTTCCCGTTGCTGTTCTCAGAAGTCGAGGTTGAGGAAGAAGGGGGTTGGGTAACTTGCGTTTGGCCGGCGGAGGTAGACGTTGAGGTGGAAGTACCGGTTGCGGTGGTCTTAGTGGAGGTGAATGGGGCGTGCATTTAGAGGGCTTTGGTTGTAGTGGTATGCTTGGTCGCGCTGTGAAGAGCTGAGGCTGGTTCCGGTGTCAGTGTTGGTTGGGAAGTTGTGAAGAGATCCACATGACGTACTCGGACAAACGGCATATTTATACATTTTTTGGACGTGTGCATGTCTCGAACATCGAATATGTTTGGTGAAGCATCGTTGGATGTTAACCTCATGTTAGGTCAGGGTTTGCTCTCCGCACCATTTTCGACTTCAGTCGCTCATATTCCAAGAGAAGGGGTCTAGACTCAACAAGGGACATTATCCATCGCCCTCAAAGCCTCTTGAAGTCTTCTCTCATTGGGATAAAATTACAATCACCGAACATGCCAAGCCGTCTTTGGTTCAGGAGGGAAGCCTGTACTAACAATGATCCATCCAGGGCACCTGCTGCCACGCATATTCTTCTTGCGGGGAGCCTTTCAAAGCTCAAAGATTGGTCTATAAGTAGACCTGACAGGGGAATTGAAGGCCGGGAGCCTAGAGACAATGAGGAAGTAAAATGGGCAGGTGCATCAAGGTAGCAGAGCAGATGTAGTGTGCACTATAAATAGAACAGATTGAGCGCTGTAGGGTCTAGATCTCTCAGGAATGTCATTGACTGGCTCACTGTCGAAAATGCAATGGAACAAAAGGGAACATCATTTAATGCTGCAAGCGCCCGCTCTGTTCAGATGGCTACCTGGGAACTAGTAGACCGAGCTGATTCATCGAACATGGTGAATACACTGTTATGTTATGCATGTATTAATGACAGGGTTTGAAGTGCCAATAGGGATATAAGGAGTACAATGTGACAGGAGCTTGCAGTTTTCTCACCTACCATCCTTCACTTCTGACCTATCAAGCCACAGCACCAGTCCGAATTCCAACACTCAATAAACCAACCCAAACACACTAAAATGTCCGAGTCCTCATACTCTTCCAGCACTTCCATCACCACCACCACTACCACCACAACACCCTCGGATACCAGTACCTCTACGACGAGTACTGGCTCAACCACTTCCGCCGGCAGTACATCCACCACTTCAATGTCCACTCACTGCAGCTCCAGCCCTACCGCGGCTTCATCTTCATTCTCTACCATTAACTCAACTAGTCAAGAAGAGTCTAACATAAATTACTTAAAGACCGAGTTCTTCTACAGGAAGGCCGGGAATTGGGAGCCAAGCGGAATATTGAAGGGGACTGCGAAGGAGGAGCATCCGGAAGAATAGAGGTGATTCCTTGAAACGGGAAACAATGGAGGCGGTATCCAAAGACTGGCAAGTTAGATCTGCAATGGTCGAAGGCGATGGGACAAAGGCAGTTCGGTAGCAATTGCAGAGTGGAACAACAACGCGTACAGTTTGACATCCTTCTTAAGCTTTTCCTGCTGCCAAAAATCTCAATAACAACCGACGCTCGAATAGTGTAGTGGTTATCACGTTCGCCTCACACGCGAAAGGTCCCAGGTTCGAAACCTGGTTCGAGCATCTCTTTTTTTTCGCTTTTTGCTGCATGGTGAGTTCGCTTGTCGTGGCTGGATTAGGATATTGTGACCGCATGCCTTTTCTTCGCATTATTTGTTCGGTTGCCTTCTTTTTGTTGTTTATCAAGAGACACCAGTAACTCCTTTAAGAGATGAGTGGACGAGTGCTTTGAATGCTTACACACATGGCTTATCGCTTTGTGGCTGAGCGTTGACTGTTGTGGAATTTCAAGCCAAGCCGGTGAACAGAGACCAACAGCGCCATGACCACTCTCCCAGCTGCTCTCGTAACTTTGACCCGCCCGGCCGGCCGGCAACGCGTTCTCAGACGCAATAGGTAGTGTGCTTTCCCGCGTTTCTTACTGCCCACGTTCATTGCCCCTCTATTGCCGTGTCAAACCCTCTCTCCTACAACCCCACCACCGCCAACGAACTCATATTTCACTTCTGACTGAGTATCTTAACATTTCAAAATTAAGGTAGCTGAAGACCACACTTTTCCAACCGGCGATAGTTCTTCAACCGGTAACATTCGAGAGTCCCCAGTATCCAGTTCTCTCACAAGACCGCACAACTATTTGATCACCATGGACCCCTTCCGTCGTGCGCAAGGCGTCGAAGACGGACATGGCATTTGGCGCTCCAATCCGACTCCTATTCCCGACGACATGATTGATCCCGCACTGCTAGGTCCTGCAGTAAACAACCAGAACGAAAGTAACCACAGGCAGGACAACGAGATGATTGATCGCGAACTCGTTGCAGCCGCACGCAACAGTAGCCAGAACCATGTCGCTGCTGATCAGACAAGTCCCCATCAACACCCACAACACCCGCTCCAGCAACTGTTTGAAGACATCAATCAGATTCGGCGGCACAACAACGTTGAGCAGACCAGTGTCTATCAACCCTTGCCGTTGGAGTTCCATTATAACAACCCTTTCATCGACCTTCAGGTGAACCCACGGTTCAACCATCAACCGACTCCTCAACTTTTCTCTTCTCCTGGAGACCCAAGTTTCCGTCCGCATCCACAGTTGGATGTGCGCCAATTCCATCCTCCCTTGAGCCATTACGCCAATTCTCAAGTCGATCCTCGTTTCCATACTCAAGCCTACTTTCGGCCCAGCGCTGAACCCAGGGCTCAAGGCTACTCTCCCCATGGAGTTGGAAGTGACGTCCATCAAGACCAGCCATTCAACCATTTTGTGCCTGCTTACTCCCCAGTGTCTCGTCCACCTCATGATGGTCGCGTCTTCTTTCATGGACCGGCAGCGGAGAGGGCCTCACTTCCTGTTGACCCTACCCTCACGTCGCAAGGCGATGCTCCAGCCTCCTCTGTTCCCGGAACACCTCATATCCAGCAGGACAACGCTGCTAGAGCCAGCGTCGAGTTGGCGCAGTCGCCTACCAGAAACAGCACGCAAAGCTTTAGTCGCGGATTCGGTCGAGGACCGATGGAGCTGGATGATAACAGTCCCTTCTCGTTCGAAGACGAAGTCGACAGCAGTCCGTTGAGCTCCCTAGCAGCAACCCCGGCGGTCGCCAGCGCGACCGTGGCTCAGCCTTCAGGACAAGAGAACACAACCATGACCATGGACTTGAGCAATTGGGACTCGGGCCGAAAAGCTGAGGTGGGACTCCCCAGCTCAAGCCCTCCACGCAACAACGTCATTGAGAACGAGAACATAGACGCAACACCGAAGCACACTTGCGCAGAACAACGGGAGGAATTACAAGAACGTGAGAGGCAGCGTCAACGTCCGCTAAAATACAGGCACAACATGGATGTACTTCTTGCCAGCGTGTGGACTGAGCCTACAGCTCCGGTGGCCGACATGGAGATCGCGCAGACAATGTTTGAAGGGCCCAGGGCTTCGAGAGCGGCAACCCTGGTCAACACGGATTTCACTTCTCATGATCCGAGTCTTCAGAGGCCTGGAGTACAAGAGAATTTCACACCGAGATGTTTCAGTGGTATTGGTGACGCGCGATGCGAGGAAGTTATGCAGCGCATCCCCACGCTTGGCCCGGGCATATCGTTCCCACCTGGAGTGCCCTACTCGAACCGAAATTCCAGTTATGCCGAGCCTCCGGAAGAGGTTTCACAACCACTCGGTTTAGCACAGGCTATGCCTCCGCTAGAGAAACTGGTTGCTGAGGGTGTCCAACCTTTATCCGCAGATTGGGGGACTCAGATGAGCAACGTCTCCGGACCACAAGTCGGTGAATCTTCACGGCACGGCCAGTATCTGGAATCTCAGGCACCGTGGCCTTCCACTTTTTCTGCGACGCCACAAGTTCAGCAAGTCTACCATCCATCCCTGCCATCACACGAGTCATATACCGAAGCAGTGATGCAACACATGAGACCAGCTACTGCTGGCCCTTCCGGATCTGTGAGTAATGCGCCCACCATTCCGCAACCAGCGACTTCAGGACATAAACTCTCGGACCTAGTGCAAAGACCGCTGGAAGAGACATCAGTGTACGAAGCCGTAGCAGCTGCAGATGCGATACTTAGCCGAGACCGTGATCTAACTGAGAGTCAGCACCTGCGTAAACTGACCCCCAAGCCTCCCACGGAAGCCAAAAATCCTCAGATCCAAAGACAGGACCAGCAAGGCCAGGCCCCTTCCGAGGAGCACGAATCAACCGAGAAAGACTCAACCAAGGCCGAACCCGAAAGCGCCCAAGTGCCCACCACGTTCAGCAACATGGACCAATTCCAACCCACCCGCGCTCCAACAACGACACTCCAACACCCTCTCCTTATTTCGCCCTATCCCCCTCGCATCCCCAACACCTTCACCCCCGCCATCCTCTCCCTCATCACCAACCCTCCTCGCTGCCTCCAACTCGGCACTTCGGACTCCCTACAATCCTACCTCTCTGCCCGCAACATAGTCCCCTTCAACGACCTCTACCCCCGCACCTTCCCGATTCCTCCAGAGCGCGAAGCCTTCAACCGGACCGTCATCGTCGAAGCTCGCTACATATCCGTGATCGGCCTGCTGTATCCGCGAGCAGAGTTCATAGTAAGCAGAATAGCCGAGGGAGCGGAGGGCAACATGCAAGGAGAGAGGAACCGCAACAAGAAGCTGGAGCCAAACGCGGCGATGATGATGGACAGGTGGCATATGTACAAGGCAGTTAGGATGACGGGGGAGGAGATGCAGAAGATGGGAGTTTGTGTGTGGAGCGAGAAGGGGTGCGAGGAGTGGAAAGCTGATCCTGCTCTTGTTGAGGCAGAGAGAAGAAAGTCTAGAGGTATGGAGCCGATGGAACAGTCGAGGGAGGTGAAGAGGCCGAGGAGGAAGAGGACGTTTAAGACGAAGGTTATGGTTGTGGATGATGACGGTGATGATGGTGATAAGAAGGAGGAAGAGGAGGATAGGGTTGATGTTGCCAGTGGTAAGGCGTTGAAGGAGAACAGTAAACCGACCGTCGAAGTTGACCAAGACTGTCAAGACGTGGATATAATCGGTACGGAGAAAGAGGGGCAAGGGTTCACCGAAGACCCGTCGTTTACCAGCGGAAAAGGCAAGGGCAAAGAAGTCCTGCATGGGAGAGACGGCAATGAGCAGGCAGTTGCGCCTTCCCCTTTCAAAGGCACCGAGTCTGCATCCGCCTATGCGGCTCGGGGCTCCACAAGCCACAGCCGACAGGCCGATTTCGTTGCAGAGGAAGGTGCGGCCGCGAGCCAAAGAGTTGAAGACAATTGGAAAGAACCAGCGCCACCAAACCCCGACATCATCGCCACAAGGAAATTAAAAACCCAACAAATGGACGAATCCGGTGAAAGCAACATCCCCGCCGTCGCCGCCGCAGTCAGTCCCTCCTCGTCTCGACCGATCAAGACCCCCAAACGCCGACTTCTACTTTCCACCAACACCGCGACCACCACCACCACCAAGTCCCTACCTCTACCGACCCATGCTTTCGATTTTAAATACCCGGACCCCCGTGCGCCTTACATCCACGATCCTTACGACCATGAATCCCGCACTCCCTACCTAATCACCCTCCTCCAGCGCGATTATCCCTCAGGCGGCGTCGCCCGCATCCAATGTACCGTTTCCGCGCGCAAGGTCATCGAGAACATCCAGTCCACTTTCGGTGTTTTGCAGCCGTACGAAGTCTGGCGAATGAAAGATTACAAGGTATTTGACAAGGACAAGGACAAGAACAGTGATACCAACAGTGATACCTACGAGGATATCTCTACAGGTGAGGACGACAGGGAGTTGAGAAAAGGTATATCAAGGTTATGAGGGGGTATGCGGGGGATGAGAATACGGAGGATGGGATGATGAGAGTGTTTTTTGATGAGATGGGGAGGAAGATGAGGGAGAGGGAGAGGGAGGGACAGGAAGAAAGGAGGGGGGAGAAGGGGGAGGGAATGCAAGAGAGTCGAGATGGGAACGGAGATGGAGATGGGAAGGAGGAAATAAAGGATATGTCCATCTTGAAAGAAAGGGAGAAGTGGAAGGAGAACTACAAGGCGCTGAAATGTAAGGGGAAGAGGGTCGTTGCTCGTGCCAAGGCAAAGAGGAAGGAAGAGGAGGATGCAGACATGGATTTTGACGATTGGTGGGACGAGCGGAGAGAGGAAGTTAATGAGCTAGTGGAAAAGTGGTTTTCACGACGAGAGGGACTTGTTGAGGAGTTTGAGGTTGACAGGCAGGTGATCGAATTTGCGCTGTTTGAGTATGGAGGAGGAGATGGACTTGGGCTGAGTAAGCCTTATAATTGATAGTCTGATACCATAGTACTGTTCCGGTTAGGCTGCATTGTTCATTTATCAAGCACAGGAAGAAGATTATAGAGTTGGACGTTGAAATTCGCTATCAAGGAAAACTTATTGAGAAGCAGATGCCAGATATGGCTTCACACAAGACTATCGGCGCATAGTTCTGTCCTCAATATCCAGAAACGGTCCTTGTGATACTTGAATCCGCTCATCTCGTGCGCTGGGGGTGCATAGTAATGTTGTGCAGGAAACAGTAGAAAATCTCCAACGCTGCAACTGTTACTGAGCCAACAGATGGTAAAACTCCCCGCCCAAACAATCACATAAGGTGCCAACAAAGTGTGAGTCCACAGCAGCCAAAACTCCCCGACACGCTGAACACGTCTCCATCTAGCATTGCGGACGCGGCTATGATTTGGCGTATCATTCAGTCCTCCGCAAAAAAATTGAGTTTGGCCCCAGAAGGCCCAGAAGGCGCAGGAGAGCTGGGCTTGGACTTGATAGCACGCGTGAAACTGGGAGATCCTTCCGCATCAGAGACTTCCATATCAGAGTCTTCCGCAAAGAAGCTGATATTGGGCCTGCCAGGTGTCCCAGAATTGGATCCAAAAGCTCGCTCGGGTTGGGACTGGCCAGGTGTTTCGGCATTACGGACCGGCTCGGGTTGATCACTCGGTCCGGGATCGGACGCCGTAGACGGTTCCGGAGCTGAAGAGACCGGCGGCTCGGACGCAGTCGTTTCATCGATAGGTTGAGGGAGGGGCGGGGGAGGGAACCCAACGACAGGCACAGCTGGTAAGTTTTGCCCTGACATGATTTGGCTTGGGGTGAGATGCCCCGGTGTATGCCCGGGCGAGGTATGTGCCGGTGACGTGGCAGACGGCGCTGTCGACGACTCCTGTCCGGGCGCACGCGGGCCACCGGGGTCGGACTGGGCATATGTTCCACTCTCAGCTGCAGGGGGAACCGGAGGAAGGGTTCCAACAGGCGGAACAGGCGTGATGTACTGCGCGGGCGTGGTATACGGCGGTGACGCAAAGTGGTGTGGTGCCTCGTACGATGGTGGTGATCTGTTAGGCGGCGGTGATGGCGCAGGAGCCGGCGGCGTTGGTGCATTTCGGCCGCTCCCCGGGAGCGGAGGAACTCTTTCCTCGTTTGGAGGCCGTGTCCCGATAGGCGCAAGCGACGGTGTTTGCGCAGGATCCGGCATGGGAGCAGCCTGGCTACCCAGACACAGAGCATGGACCTCCTGGTAGGGCGGGGGAGGGAAACGTGGAGGTGGACCTAGTACTTGAGGGAGGGCAAGATAGTGGACCGGGACAACAGGCGCGCCAAGTTCGACGGACGACTCCAGACCGGGCACAGAGTGGATGGTTTCTATGTCGACGATGGCATCGTATGGTATATAAGTAAGGAACACGAATTCGGCATCGAATGGATTGTGGGTGTGAACCCCGGCGCAAACAATTGGCCAGCCTCTGGGCAGTCTTTGTGAGTCGATCGTATACAGGACTCGCAAGGGACTTCGTTGGATACCCCAGCTCCACGCTATCGCCTTGTGGAAGAAGACCGATATGAAATGGCTTGGCCCTCTGGACTGCCAGTCAAGATGCTATCGAACTAAGTCGTCCAACTTGTCACGGGAAGCGATAAAAAGCGATTTGATTGGGTGACTGGTGTAAATGTCGCCGTTGGGCCCGAATGAGGTTAAAGAATGTGCATGTCGCACATGGTACAGCAAGGGCGGGAGCTGTTCGACTGGCAAGAAATGGTCTTCAAGACGCCAAATGCGAGGTTGGTAAGGGTCGTCCATTGTGGTGGATAAAAGAGTGGAGGGCAGAAATATCGAGATATGATGATGGTCAGTAGTTATTATGACGGCGCCGTGGGGTTTAAGGAGGCTGTATAATGCAGAAGTGGATGAGATTGGCCGCAAGTGTCTGGATGGAATGCAGCCGAGGTAATATACACATGCCATTGTTGTAGCTCCTGCTGTTTAGGCTGGCTGCGTGCTCTTGGACGTGACTTCCACAGTCCTTGAACGCCCTGAGTATGTTCCTTCCATGACTTGAGCTCATTCTGCCTGGTGGAAGGAAACATAGGCAGGAACTCTGCTGAACCCTCTTCTGAGCCTGAAGCAACCATGTCAAGCGACGTCTCATGCCCTACGGGAGGCGGAAGTAGACGTTAAAAATAACAACAAAAAGCAACCATCTCAAGCGACAGAGACAAAAGCAAGGACTTCATGCTGAAAGCCGGTGTTGCTAACGCGGCCAAACCCAGTGGTCCGTTTCATTCTTAAGTCGTCCACAAGTCCAGTCCCTAGTAAAACCCTTGGGATCGCCTAGGTCTCTGGTTTGTCCCTGCCATCATTTCTGTGTCAGCTTCTTTAAGATCCGGACGCACAAAAGGATAGAGACTGGACTACAGTGTTACGTTACACTTACTGAAATTTGGGTATCGGGGGAGACATTCACAGTAAATGATTGAATATCCAGGGATAAAGTCGAGGAACAGGTACTCGCTATCGAAGGCGTCCGAATTGAAACGTCCGGCATAGAAGATGATGAAATCATCGGGGAGACGAGAGGTGTCAATCGTGTAAATATTGGTCGGCCTGAAACGCTGCCTAGCCCAATTGTACGCGTGATCGTAATCGGCAAACGTGGAGATGAAGCATGTAGGACCCCGATAGTACCAGTCGACATGCAGGCTGATCTGATCCTCTAAATGGAAGAGGCCTCGACGGCCTGTTGAGCAGGTATCAGCTGCCACAAAGGAGCCATCATCGTCCTCCCACGATTGGGATCCGGGGTGCTGGACAAAATGCAAGTACTGCGGGATGTCGTAGTAACGTTCCGAGTAGTAGCCCCAGGGACGACCACCACGACGGCGAGTCATGTTGCCGGAATTCGATGAGAGCTGAAAGGCCCTTCAGTATTGGGTATGGCCGACCGACCATGTTGTTGGAAAGAACCCCTCACTCGCTTAGGCAAGAAGAAGCTGTTGTTAGTGCCGGAGCACGTGAAAGATTCAGTGTTGTCTCGGCAAACGTCCCTTCTCCCTACTGTCTCCACATAGCGTCCTTGACAGCACGCAAAGCTTAACCAAAGGGCTTTTTTTTTTGGTGACCCACTGTATGTCGCTGAGATAAGAGACGTATAAGTTCGAGCATCAAAAAGGCACGGTATTCTAGTGTCATCTATTGCATATTAAAGAGCCAGTATCGAGTGGCCTGGGGAGGCCGATTTCTGTACTAGTTTTCCGGACCCGGGAACCGGAAGCTCGGGTCTCTGTCTCGGGTCCAGCCTGATTCGCCGACTGATTTTTGAAGCGTGCTTTAACCAGTATGTAAAGGTGGATGACTTTCAGTCGGGGAGTTTAGGACCCACATCCACCGGAGCGGACTGTTAAAGGACGGTTCGTCTATAAGCCAGACGCCTGCGCAGAAAGTTTCCTGTACTCTGATTGGCTACAGCCGTGGCACAGCCCTATAACTAGTTAGGGCGTCTTTTTGAGCCCACTCTTGGTTGGTCCATTTGTAATAGTGTTAGCTACAGTCTGTGCCAAAATACACTGGGTCCTTCTGTTTTAGCAAAATCATTGACCAAATCCCGGTATTGCCGTCTTCATCGCCGTCTTCGTCGCCGTCTTCATCGCCATCCACGAAAAGAAGAGAGAAAAGAAGAGAGAAAAGAAAGCAACCAGAGAGAAAGGATAACAATGAGCAAGTGGGTGAGGACAGCTACAGCCGTCCGAAAAAGAACGTTGCAAAGATGTAGACACTCACGCTTCACTTATCCAGCAGCGCGTTGATTGAACTAGGGATCCAGCATCGCACTCGGTGGCCAGACTATTTTACCCTTTGGGCTTATTTACCAAACCGCAGTGTGATTGGATCGTAACTAGAAAACAGATCTTGTACGTAGAATGGATGAAAAACTAGTGTTCGGGGAGGCCCGTAGGGCCTCGGCCCTTCCGTGGTGGATGAAAGGCTGGAGACGTTTACGGTACCGTGCGTGATTATTAGATATGAGAGGAATACGTTGGGAAGGAGAAACAGGAAAAAGGCGATGCACTAACATGAAAAGCGCGAAATTCAGTTAGTGCTAATAATTATTTTGCGGGCGAAAAATGCGCTTTCGGGCCGTACGTTATGATTTTGGTAGTGCGTGCGGGGTTTTGTATGGGTCCCGCACGCGACCAGCATGATTTGTGCTGTAGATATGTAGAGATGAGTGTTCCACTGGTTTTGTGTAGTTAGAGTCTCAGTAAGGTGAAGTGATTCTTGCAGATTGCGGAGGAAGCCAGTCAAGCCACTCGGGCGCCGGTCCATTGCCAGGTGCGACATCAAACCTACATATGTATTGTCCCGGTGGCCCGCAATTCCGGGACAACAGATGCGACAGGTTAGTCTCGGTGTCCCGATATATATTGCAGGAGGACGGGCATCTGCCCAGTGGCGAATTTGTTTGCAAGCAACAACAGCACGATACGAACGAACTACCTCCATTTACATCAATAATATTGTACTACAGCGACTAACGCAGAACATACCTATGCCTGTTGCCGACTGCCATTGCCACTGACCTCAAACCCGCTTTTGTGGCGCTTATATACCGATTGACCCTCTCTTTGCCATTCCCAACGTCTTTAGATCTTCTGGTCTGTTCCTAATGTCGAAAGTTCCTTGCAACCGAGCAACCAGAAAGCTTGCACGCCTTTCTTGCAAAATAAAGAAACCCCCCCCAACCTTGTCCTTACGTGCCGTCGCGCGTGACTCATCGAAACAAACATGAAAGCAGAGCGTTTACCAAACGGACAGCAGCTGCTTGTCGGGTATCCGCTAAAGCTGGATTCAAAACCCGCCAAATCCCACGTTTTGGCCTGCCAATGCCATTGCTGCTCGAGCAATCATTAGCCCCAGGACCATGACTTCTATGTGATAAAGGTCCAGTCATTCTATGCTTACCTTACAGATCTCGGCCTCTCAAGCCTGCACCTGGTTCATGTTTTGTTCATCGGGATGGCAAAGCGAATATCGTTGGACAATGAAAGACCCATGGATCCTGTGCAGAAACAAGTACTCATTGTCCGAAGCCATTGGCACGAAGTGAAAGGTCCTGAAGATTAGGACATCTGGGTGGATGTTTGCGGTGTCAATGTGGTGGATGGTGACCGGTGGATCCCTCTGCATTGCCCAGTCATAGGCGCGGTTGAAGCTACCGAATGCTGAAATGAAGATGCTGGTGACTCTGCACGCCCAGTTCACATGGTTCCCGATGAGCAATTCGAGATGTGACCGACTGTGCGGCGTAGTCACGGTATCTGCAGCATCAAAGCCCCCAGAGGGGTTAATGGAGGATTGGGAGCTGCCATGCTGAACGAAGAATAGATACTTCGGGCGGTGATCGACGGGGACGTTCAAGTTGTAACAGGTGATTGGGAGAGACATGACGAATTGACGGAGGAACTCCCAAGAGCAGTGCAAAGTCCAAGAGGTGAAGGTGGCGATGCTGGAAGAGTCGCGTTCGGCCACAAAATGTCTGCGTAAGTAATGTCCTGCGTAACTGCCCCGGAGCAGCGAGGAAGAAACCGTGAGCTTCTTGGAAAGAAAGTGGCACCGCAGCAAATGTACAACCAGACGTCCTGCCTTTTGGTCAATCTCATAAGGATTGACGAAGTAGAGGTCTGGAAAGTGCGAAGATGACCTAACAGTCAACCATTCCCCAAGCATGGCACTCCAGAGCAGAGAAAGAAGATGGCAACTTCGCCTGACCTATGCAACTTGCAATCATCACAATTGTGGTCGTCCAAATCCCAGAGCGAGACTCTGAGACGAGAGGATCCGGGACATTCAAGCAAGGAGCAAAATTGACATTTCCTAGAGTGGCAGTAGCATTGACGTTGCAATCTGTCACGGTGGGATGGGAGAAAAGTGAGCAAGGTGTATACTTTGATGCATTTGATACAATTAGGCTTGATGACTTGGAATAGACGAAGAAATTTGGTTCTGTGATCTCTCTCTCCTGTGGGTGAACCCCCGTCAAACTCTGAATTTGCTCTGCAGAGGCATGATCCAAATACCTTTAGTGATAGCCTTGTAGACGCCTGGCTCGTTCACCAATCACTGTAGGTACAATTCACTAGTTAGTTGATGATTTCGACCATCGTGAAGTAAGGAAAGGGAGAGATGTGTTTCACTTACAAGCTGAGCGCCCTAGAGTTGTGGTCCTCACGATGGCGTCTCCGAGATGGTGTGAAGGAATAAAAACTCGGATTCGGAGCAGCGGGGGGTAAATTCGCTGGCATGAAACACCCAACAATAACGATCGTCCAGCCTCTCCGTATCAATTTCGTAAATAGTGACCCACGGTTGACGCTGCCTGGCCCAATTGAAAGCGTGATGGTAGTCGGCAAACGTGGAGATGAACGGAGTTAGGTTAGCCCAGTTCACATGCTTCGAGACCAGTTGATGAAGATGATTCGGTCCTCTCAATGGGCTCCATACATCTGCCGCTTTGAAATTCCCGTCGCTGTTGCAACACGCCTGTTATTGAGCGTATTCGACGAAGTAGAGGTAGCGAGGAAGATCCCAGCAAGGAACCGTGTAGTTGGCAATGACAGAATGGAGGGCGCCATGCTGATCTGGTGGGCGTCGGAATTGAGATAGGCAGGAAAACGTGCTCAAAGAGCAATGCTGTTGAGGGTACCGCGCACTACCAAGTCTCCAGACCACTCAGACTTGGGTTGGTGGTGCTAGAAAGGAGAGGAACAGTTGTAATGTCATCCCCCTGCCCGGAGTTGAAAGGGTTCCGCAGGTTCGTCCCTCCTCCAGTTCAAGACTTCAACATGTAGAAATCACATTCGAACTTCCTGCCAGATTGTTCCTCCTTTGCAATCTAAGACTCGAGGTACCTAAGCTCAAGGAATGAGTCGCTCCTTCTGTTTGGTCTGGTTGGTTATGTCGTGGGGTGTTGAATGCCATTCATCTTGGTAGACCAGGTCTCGAAGCCCGAAGAGGCAGGCACGCGGTTTGGGATTAGAGCATGCGGGGAAGGTGCGAGACTGAGGCTCCATCAGTAGTCCGAGTGTCAAGAGTAAATAAGGTAGAAACAACACTGCCAGAGCCAGCCTAGGAGCACCTGTAAGAGCACTTGCCGGCACAGGGGTAGTTTCCATATCGAGGCATGATCGATCGACTCTGGTCTCACTAGTCTACCTGGGTTGTTTTCGCCGTTTCCTGGTCTTCTCGGTCCTTGCCAAGGTAGCCAAGTTGCCTAAAACAATCCAGAGCCAAATAAAGTTCAACTTGCATGTATTGTGTTTTGAACAGATTCTCAAAATTCGGCTGAGGCTGTTGAGTAAAATATGCCCTTTCCAAACTGACGCATGCACTCCAGGTTATAGGACCCCGAACTGGGATCGGGGAGCGCTTCCGAGCCTTGGACCCGACTCTTTCGCGGCTTTGGCGAGTCTCAATAGACATCGTTGTGTGATGTTGTGTGAAGCTTCACAGTTGAGTCCACCGGGGAAAAAAACGCAGACCAAACATGCAACACTCTCCGGCCTTCGTTGGCCGGAGAGAGCATTTTAATGAGATGAAGAATGTGAGGCGAAAACTTTGCTTTGATTGACAGTGATGACATGCCTTGACCGGTAAATTGTTTAAAGATCGTAACGGTGGAAGTATCCTCCGTTTTCATCAGATGCTCGTAGCAGTATGGATGACGAGTTAAGTTGACTTTCATTTGTCAAATCTGGTTGCCCTGTCTTTCGCATACGGCTTCGCGGTCGTATTCTTCGTTGGGTTTGCTTCGGATATAAGGTTTGCTCCAGTGTCCAGAGTCGTGACAGCTTCTTACATGAACCTGAACTGACGAGGCAAGGTTGTCGACTAG